TAGTAACGTTAGAAGACGACGCGGTCTTCAATGTGCTAGTACTCTTGCTACGTGCTGGTACCGTCCGTGCACTTGTCGGTTTGCAGCAGGAAGGTATTCACTCACAATCGCTGAGACTCCGCTTGAGGTAGGAAAATGCAATTCCATCGGAGGGGAATCTCGATTGTGTCGCTGCGAGTTTTGTCGTCGAAGTCCATTTGAATTTGTTTGGTCGCTAGTATTAGTACAGTGCAGGAGTTGACCTAGTCGACTTCAAACGCAGCGTTTCCGCGTCGCCGCCTCGTGTCTCTACACGTCTTGGTACCAAACCAAGACGACGTATTGATAAGTGCGGGAGTGTAGTCATGTCCCGGGCATGCTGTTCGTGTAAATGACGCTTAGGTTGTGTCGCGACGAACAGACAACTTGTCATTCGTCGACCGCACGAAAGACACCCATGCGGGAGAGGGATCGGCATATACTGATGCGCCGGTTACAGAAAAAGGTCATGGTGTTTAACGCGGGGCGAAACGTTTTTCTCCGCCAGTCGTGCAGACATACTGTATGGCGTCCTAGTATCTCTTCCTACGACTGCGTCGTGCAAGCTCCGCGGGTCGAATTGAGACTGCTATTGAGACCGTCTCATCCTTGTGGCATGGGATATCCACGATCCGTCTTAAAGCCAGAGTAGAACGTAGAATAGTCAAAAATGCGTAAAACATCACAAGACATGGGTAGAAATCTATTGCAACGTTTAACGTAGTGCGTCAAAAGCGTTTAACGCACATCGACAGGCGGCCTGCCATTTCTGAAAATCGGCGTCATGAGCGCGCTGTACTTAGAGCTACCGCCGACAGGTCGGCGTCGTGCGCACCACGTTGCGCTCAGGCTTGCGTAGGCGCCGAGTCGGCCAAGGTCGTGATTCGCATCGACCCGATGCAGGTACTGCTGGGTCTCAGCTCAGGCGACCTCTCGGAGATGGCCGTGCCCGGTATTTACGTGCCGCTGGACTTTCTCGAGTCGCTCGACACGAACGCCTCGGTGCACGACGCGTGGGAGAAGGCGCAACTACAGGCATCTACTCTATTGCGTGGACAATGGCTCATTAGGACACGTAGGAGGCGCGCGAATGCGCTGATATCACCAATCAAGACATTGTGACGCAGATTTCGCTGACGTACCCCGTCGTCTTTAGCACCACGATGGGCTTCATCGCGGGCTACGCTCTCAAACACATTGGCCACATCATCGGCGTCCTCGGCATTGCAGCCATCGCGTCTTCCGAGGGTCTCGTCGAGATCCACTGGAAGCGCATCAAAAAGTATTTTGCGCTCAATGCGCTGGTCGCGGCGCCGGCGTCGACGTCGCTGAGTGTTGTCGAGATCTGGGACGACTTGACCAAGAGCTTCCGAAAAGAGAAGCGCCCGCGTCGGCCACCGCCGCGCGTGCTCTCACCAGGTTGGTCATTTTGGAATGCATTAAGGCTGTCTACTATCGCAAATGTCTACTAGGGGGCTTCCTCGTCGGGCTGATACTCGGGCTGCGGCACCGGTAGTTGTTCTAGTTCATGCGGCCGATGCAGTTGACGGCGCCGCAGTCGCACTTGATCGCTTCGTCCTCGATCGGAAACTTGTAGTCGTACGTGACCTCGTCGCCGACGTGCAACGTCTGCTTGGCGAAGATGATGATCTTCTTCTCGTTTCCGTCGATCGTGATGATGCGCGCATTGGCCTTGGGCTATGGACGCAAACCTTAGTAATAGCACCTAGTATTCTTTGCAGTGGTGTACGTTGCAAGAGTGGTTGATGAAGCGCGCGAGGTTGCCCGTGCGCGTCGCGTCGACAATCGTGTCAGCGTCGAGCCGAAACATGTAGCAGCTTCCAATGCCCATCTCCTCGTATCTAGAGCACATTGAGTGATCGTAGTCGCCGCGCGAGGACGCATACCTTTTCTCGCGGCAGTCGGCGACCTTTTGCCGGATCGCTTGCCCTTGGTATTCGACAATCATCTTGCCTTCGGCGATCTTTTCCTTGACAAAGAGCCCGTAGCCGTGGATGCGCGACTTGCGCACCTCGAGGCGCTCGTCAAACGGACGCTTCCGTAGCTCGCGGTACTGCATAGCGATCGGAAGCTGCTCCAAGTCGACGCTCGGCTTGTTGGCGTTGTTGCTGTTGGCAGCGATCGGCTCGTCTGCGTGCTTTGAGAGTCCAACTGTCCGGCTTTTCTTCTTGGTCGAGGGCTTGATCGCCTTGGACTGCTGCCATCCAAGGTACCCGTCGGTGCGGATGCTGCCCGACGACTGCTTGGCATGCTCGCGCATCGAGCGCAGCCGCTTGAGGTCCGTTCGCGCCTCGTCAAACGTGGCCTCGGACGGCAGCACGTGGCAAAACACGTACGGAAGCGGGTTGGCCACCGGGTCGTAGAGGGCGCAGGTCGGCGCCATCGGCAACGCCTCCAAGGCCGCGCCGACGACAGGCACCGTGAGGCCAAAAAAATGGTCGCCAACCAGGCCGTACGAAAACCACGACGTCCGCCGAAGGAACGGGTTCCAGCCGACGCTGAAGACGCGCTGCGTCTCGTAGAGCGCCAAAAGACGGCTTCGGAGTTGGTTCATGGCGTCTAGGATAGCCTTGATACAAAATCACGATTCGATTGCGTACCGTTGGGCGAGACGCCAAAGATTGGGTTGTCCTTGTTGTCGGACGGTGTGATGCGAAAGAGCGGTGTCTTGGTCGGCGACAGAAGGATGTCGCACTCGTAGAGACAGCGCGTCTGGACCGTCACGGCACTCCAAAAGATGCGCGTGCTCCGGTACCCGATCGGGTACAATGTTGAGACGGTGTGGCACGCGTCGTTGCCCACCTCGATGGCACCGAGCGCGTGAACGGTGAGCGCGCCGATGCGGTAGCAGACGCCCTTGGCCAGCTGCGTTTTGCTGAGCTTCTTGGATTTGCCACTCGTTGCTTCCTGCTCGCACATGAGAAACCGAAGCGGCTCCACGCCAGGCGTCGGCGTCTCGAGCGTTGCCGTCGCCACAACGTGATCGACAAGGTCATTCAAGCATGCCGTCACATCACATGCCAGCATGGATTCCCCGTCCGTCGCTTCGCAGCCCGTGGTCGCCGTCTTGAGTTTCTTGCGCGCCGCGACGTCGTCGTCACGCTTGCGCTTTTTGCTGTGTGTCTTTTGAACGTGGACGCGCCAGTGGTCGGCGCAGAACGCTTGGTTTTCCGTCGTGAACGTCAGATGCGGCGTCGCGCAGTGCAGATGATAATTAAGCTGACACCGGAGCCCATGACAGCCTATTGTCGCGCCGCTCAACAAGCACACTGCGCAACGGTACGTGCGGCCGCGGAATCGAGCTTTCTGGCACATCTTGAGCACGCCATAACTGTCTTCGTAGACCTCGGACGACCACGAGATGCAGTTGACGTGCACCCACTGGTCGAAATCCGCAAACACGAGTCGCCCCGCAAACGCTGGGTCGTCCCCCGACTCGCGGCACAAGCCGCACACGCGCGGGTCCGTAAAAGCCCCGAGCGTCGACGACCAGTCGCCCCAGTCGCGCAGTGGCGGCGCAAACGTCATTTTCGCCAGTGCCGTGTGCACGGGCATCTCAGGCACGCGCATCGGCTTTGGCGTAATCTCTGCAACGGCGGTCTTCGTTTCGATCTCGGCAGACGCGTCACTGCCCGTGTCGACGTCGTCCAGAATCTCAATCACGCTCGGCGACACTGGGGCGTCAGGTAGTGGTGGTACCTCGTCGACATGCGGCTTGGTGGTTTGCTGCTTCCGGCGTGCATACTCGTTGGTGATGGCGGCGACCTCGGCATCAATCGAAACAGCGCTGCGATCGACGAGCGCATCCGAGAGCCGAGCTGGAATGTCGTGGCTCGCGAGGAGTCCGGCTGTGAAGAGGCTAACGCGCTTCGTTCCATAGAGCCACGTGCAGCAGGCTAAGAAGGACGCAGCCCCGACTGCTTCCGACACAATGTGCGCGATCGCCGACGGCGTTGACGCGACACCGTCCACCGTGAAGAATTGTTGCTTCTTGCGCAGCTCTCGACGCGCGGCAGCACGGGGACCCCGAGAGTAGCGCTTGAAGCGGATGTAGCGGCTAGCAGCTTGCCGCAGTGCAATCGGGATCATGCTCTCGGAAAATCCCGTCGACGGTGGCTCGACAAGGAACGAGATGCGACGCCCCGAGAGCGCTTTCAGGCAATCTTCACCGCAGCGCAAGATGTAGAGGTACAGCGGCGCGTAGTTGCGCCAATGGTCGTACTGCCGCAGCGTCTGGCGCAGCGACTGCTGCGACTCCCATGCGAGCGTGATTTCCTGCCGCTTTTCTTGGATGAGCGCAATGTTGAGCTGGAGGCCCCACGCTTGCCGGAAGGCCCTGAGGTGTTTTCGCTGCTTCTTGCGGCAATGAGGACAGTAATACTCGCTCTCGTCCGTGAGCGACGCAAGCGTCTCTTCCGTAATGTTGTCGCAAGCAGGATGCCCCCAGGACTGGCAGCCATCGCACTGTATGAGCGTCTCGGACTCGGACCAGCGTTTTTGGCAGCCTGGACACGTGTTGTTATCGCTGCCGCCGCGCGACCGGGGCTTGCGCGGCGCACCGAGCAGTGAGTCGCGGGCAGAGTCGTCCATGCAGCCGATGCAGCATGAGACGCTTGGGCTCCACGACGCGCTGTCCTGGATCTCGTGGCACGTCTCGCACTCGACGCAGTTGCCACACACAAAGCCCGTCGACGGCACGTCACGCAGTTTTGGGCGGAGGCAGAACGTGTGACACCCACGCTCGCAAACATCGCAGACTAAGAGCTTGGCTTCGTCCTTGTTGGTGCCACAGAGCTCACACAGCTTGCAGTTGGGGCAGCGCCAGAACGCCTGCAGCTTGGTTTGCTTGGCAGGGTTGTTCGACACGTCCAGCGGCGGGTGGAGGCAAAACTGGTGGTACGCCTCGCCACAGTCGATGCAAAATACAAACTTCTCGGACACGCCCGTACTGCAGCAGACGGCGCATGCATCGCACCATGCCAGTGCGTGCGCTTGTGCCAAAGACTGCGTCGCGACGACGCTGGCCACGCACGAGTATGGCTTGGGCACAATGCCCAGCTCGGTCGGAAGCTTGAAGAGGTCCAGGCGACCGACATCCGTCGTTGGCCCCGACGCCGCAACGTCGACTTCTTCTTCTGACCCGATCGAGGGCGACGGCACATGCAGCGGAGAGTCCGTGGGCGTACCGAGACCATCGTCTGTTTTCGTCTTGGCCAACATGGCGTTAGCAAGCGTTGGACCGGCACCACCCGTGGACGTGGGCACGCCGCTTTCGTCCTTCGTTATAAGCGTCGAATTATTGGGCAATTGACGCTTGGCCGCAGCAGCGATGTTCTCCGAGAACTTGCCGTTCGGCACGAGGAGCACGGACGGAAGCAGCTGCCGCAGGAGGCGGGCGCCGGCGTTGTAGAAGCGCCACGCCTCTCGCCACACGAGGTAGTCTCGTTCCTTCGAGTTGAATGTCACAGCGTTCAAGCACAGAAGCTCAAAGTGGTCCCGAAAGTCTGCGCCGAGGCCGTGAACATACGCGCGCTCCTTTAGCTGCCGCGCCATCGTGCTGAGGTCCATCGGCGACTTGATGATGTCAAAGTACGTCGGCGCGATCTCGACAGTCACGGGCTCGCTAAAGATGCCAAATTTGTCCTCAGCGCGCAGCGCGTGAAGAAGCTTGTAGAGGCGCAGCTGACGGCAGCTGGCACATTCGTACTTGGCCATCGTCCGCGGGTCGTACTTCGGCTTGAAGCTCAGTGCGCGCGCCAACCGGTCGTCAAGCCACTTGCGCTTCAGCTTGTCGGTCCCAATGTCGTCGGGGCACACGTCGCTTGGTTCAATCGCGCCCACGCTGAAGTCCAGGATCTCACTCTCGGCTGGGGTTGCGTGGTACATGGGATCTTGGTCCGGCTCGCAAGCGCTGTGCGCCCACAGCTCGCACGATGTGCACTGAAGCACGTCGGCACAGAAGCCGTCGCGGCCGTGCAGTTTGTGACACACGGGACAGTACTGCTGTGCCGCATACTCGATACTGCACTTGGCGCAGAGGTAGAGACGCGCAAGCTTGGTCTCGAAGAGCTGCCACGCGTCAACGTCGGAGGCGCCACAGCCGTCGCACGACCGGCAGCTGGCACAGACGTACGGGATTTCAAGGTCTCCAACGAGCTCTGTCCCGTCCTTGTCGAGGACCGGAAATCGCTCGTAGGGTGGCGAGATACACGCTTTGTGCGTGGTGATGGCGCAGGCGCTGCACGCGATGACGGACGCCGATTGCAGAGGGAAGAGGCACGTCGCACAAGTCGGCGCATCCTCGTTTGTGGGTGGCACGTTGACGTCGAGACCCGGGTCATCGCTCCCGCTGGTCTGGAGTTGGAGGACGGCGTCGGCGTCAAGGTACCATTGCATCGAGAGGTCGGTGTACGAGAGGTGGCACTGCCACGTCCACGCCGTCGAGCGAACGCCCTCGGTGGTTGCAGGCGTCGGAGGCGACACGACGACGCTGGAACCTTCTTCGGTCTCGAACCAGTAGTTGTCGCCATTGCCCGGCACCTTGTCCATACGCGTGATGCGTCCCACAAGCGTCGTCTGTGTCGCGTAATCAACGATGCCAACGCGCTTGCCGACCCAGTCCGCGCCGACAAAGTGTTTTTGGATCTCACGCGCGAGCCCATCGCGAGCGTCCTGGACGATTGCTACGAAGCGGTCATTGGCTCCGTGCGCTGTGTTGACCGCGCTTTGCCACGCGACGTCTTCTCTATATGCGTCGGCGGCGTCGGTGGCGAGCCACTTGTCGAAGGAGCGCAAGGACGAGAGCGGACACCACACCACACGCGTTTCGTCGTCGCCCGCCGATGTGTACAAGAGCACAAGCGCGTCTGCTTCCTCCTTCGCTGCGCCAAAGAGAAGCTTTGCTGGGTCGTTGAGCACCATCTTCTGTGCAGGCCACCATTGGCGCTCGAGGTGCAGAAAGACGTTGGTGTTGGTGCCGACAGCCACTGGAAGGGAGTGCAACGGCAGCCACTGCGTCGTCGCGTCACAAAAATTGACGCGAAAGAGCAATCGGTGCAGGTCCAGCGCCATGACGTCACCAATGGACCACGGTGCGTCATCCTGATGGCGAATCAAGACGCGCCGCCCGACGTACTGGTGAAGCGTCTTGAGTTGCTTGGCGTCATCGATGCGTTTCATCCGCTCCGTGAGCGGCTCTGGGATCACGATGCGGAGCGGCTGCCGCGACACGCTGTCCAGCGACGCATCTGCGGCTCCCTCCTCATCTTCATCGTCGGGCTCATCATCACTGACGTGAGGCGATGCTCTGGGCGTGCTTCCTCGGCTGCCACTGCCCTTGCGGGGTTTTTTGGGCTTGGGCGACGCCTTGCTCTCTTTCGGGAAGCGCTTTCCAGACTTGGAGGTGGTCGGTTGCGGCGGCGCGGTGCGGCTGTTGTCCCTTTTTAGTCCGTCACCGCTCGATGGAGACGCATCGCGCTTGCGCTTCCGCGACGTCTTGGCCGCTTTCGTAGTACTGTCGCTGTCGTCGTCTAGCGCAAGATCGATGATCTCGTCCGGCTTCAATGCTGGCTTTGGCGCCTTGCGTGGCCGAGACTTCGCTGCGTTGTCGTCCATCTCATCACTTTCTATCGCGCTGGTGTGGTGGGTGACGTCGCAGTGCACGCAGAACCATTGTCCAGACGGTACAACTCGCATGTCGAGATGCGCCATCGAGAACTCGCCTGAGCAGCTGTCGCAGAGCACAACCATCGCGTCGTCGAGGGGTTCGTCAAGAGGAATGATAATGTGGTCCGCGCGCCCACCGCGTTGACGACTACCCCGGCGAGGGGCTTTGTCGCGCTCGTTCTCAAAGCAGGATGGGCACTGCCATCGGCCCTTGCTCACGCTCGGCAGGCATAGCGTATGTGCCGTCGACACGAGGCACGCGCAGCACTTCATAATGTGCATCTCGGGGATCGTTGTCAAGCCGCAAGAGGAACACACGCCATCTGTACTCATGGGCAAGTCGTCAGACTCGGACTGCTCGAGCGGGCTTGCACCGAGACTCCCCTTCAACATCACAGCATGAGTCAATGTATGCATGTAGCGTGAGCTGCATACCGTCGAGAGCAGAGACGGCGATGTGGCTTTCGTTGCCACACTTTCAGCTGCCATCTAGACATGTCCAAGTGGCCCATCAGCATGCATACTTGCCAGCGTGCAACACGAACCTCGTCTGTATCGCTGGGCGAAGACGCGTCGTCTTGTACTGGCGCTCCTTGCATGCGGTCCCAGAGCTCGTCCGCTTCTTCGTCGTTATTGTCGCCGTCTTCAATGATCTTCTTGACTGTTTCGGCCAGGAGGAGGCCGCGTTCGGGCTTGAGCCGTCCCGAGCAGCCCGAGCAGGTCCATGAGGTCTTGGTTCGGCGCTTGTTGCGCACGCAGGGCGCGTGGAAGGTCCCTCTGCAGGCGGAGCAGCGCCACTCGTCGTCGGCGCCGTCGGCCACGACCCGATGGCACTCGTCACAGGAGCGCTGCATGCGGGGTGTAGCAGCAGGCGCTTTGATCCGCTCAATAATTTTCGAATGGTGGGCCTATTGTATTATTGTTGACGCTTTTCGCGCTGGTTTCCGACAGCGCATTTTTAATGCGAGTCGTTTTTTTTCAATGCAAAACCCCTATATAATCAATAAATTATGGTGAAACTCGTTTTATATTTGGCGCTGGCTGCATTCTATGACGGGGAACTTAACGTCTATTGCACGTCAAAAGCTTGGGTTGGTGTGTCGGTTGGGATCTTTTTGGCGCGTACTAGTACACAGCGCACCAGCGCCACGAGCCATTGGACTTTGTCGCAAGAAGCGCTCTTGATGCACGGAACGTAGAGTGTCCGCCGCTTCCCCGCGGTCGGGCCACTCGGAGCTGCTCTGGGATTAGAGATGGAGAGGCGCGTCGACGGTGTCGAGAATCACCAACCGACGATGACGATGGTCTGATTCATGACAACTTCACGCATTGTCTATGAAGGAGACGACACAGCAAATAATGGAATGCCTTTTCTTTATATGTTGACAGCAATGCTTGTAGTTGTGTTGCTACGCAGTAGACGGCGCATGTCCAAAGGACCGAGTGCTGTCGCAGCATGCGGCGCGGAGCCGCTCCTGGAGCCCCAGCGTCGTCGGTGCCACTTCCAGAGCGGTACAAATGTGTATGAGTTCTGTGAGAATTGTCCTCTTGAAGCGCTCGAGCGCGACATGCTCCTGCAGCAGGCGGTCACGCAGTTGCAACTCTGCAGCAAGAAAGGCTGCTTCTCGTGCCTGGAGTCGTCCATCTTCTTCGATAAGCGCCTCCAGAACGCGGATGTTCATGCATTTGAGGCGCTCAACTTCGGCGGCTTCGAGCTCATATGTGCGCTTTTGCTCCTCCGCGAGCTCGAGATTGAGTGCAACTTGCCGCAGGGCTTCATCCAGACGACGCTCCATTGACGCCACTTGAAGCGCAAGGAGCGCCTTCTCGCGCTCATTTACGATTCGATTTTGCTAAATTGTACCATGAGAAAAAGTAATCAAGCTTTGGGTTCTGAACCTCGGCGAGAACGGCGCGCTCGTCCGTAAGCACACGCAGACTCGAGCACTCTTCTTGTGCCATCTGGAATAGCTCTTCCCATTCGGCAGTGCTGTGTACGACAGGTGCTTGGTCGTACAAAGTTGGCGCGCAGCACTGCATGTGTCCATTTTGCGTCGATGGCGTCGTTGGCGTGCTGGCGGAACTGCCATCGGCTAAATTGAGGGTCGCGTGAGTCACCGCACCCGTTTGGGATACGCGTCCATACCCTGCACGGCCACGGAGGTACTCATCTGTGCAAGAGGTCGCCGCTGCAGTGCAGACCACTCGTGTAGTGTCAGAGCCCACACGCCGAGCTGCCGGTCCAATGCCGTGCCCAGCGGCGATGTTCCGTCCCAAGAATTGCAAAAAGTCGTAGGACCCTCTGTGATCACGGCGATGAAGGCGTCGAGGCGTCGGACCGCTGACACTACCGCTTGCAGCATGTCGGATTTTAAAACGTCGAGCTCGACCATACGCGCTTGGAGCTTCGCCGCAACGTCGCCTTCATCGCCGACCACAGTAAGCACCTCAGCACGCGACTCCTTTTTGCTTGGCTCTGGCTCGTCGTAGTCGCTCAGCGTAGAGCAATCAGAGAGAACACCATAATCTTCGTTGTCGTATCGGGAGGTGCTCGTGTCGTTGTTGTTGTCGTCGTCGGACTCTTCGTCGCTGCTAAGCTCGAGAAAGTCGGGGGCAGATAAGACTGGGTCGAGCTTTCTTGTGTCAAGGCGCTGTCGGCCTGGGAGCGTTGTTTGTCGAAGGCGCCTTGAAGATCGAAGCACGGCTTGCAGCTCGAGAGCAGCGTCGCGGACCACGCTGGCCATTGTCGAAGTTGCGCTCTATTCTTCGAATGGGATCTTTTCCAGCCGGTCAATTTGACTGCGTGGAATCTTCAGCGTCTGTGCGCTATGGTACACAGCGCATGGAGCTGTGTGTGTGTACAGTCATTATTGTTCAGAGCCATGGGGGTATGGATCGCGCGAGGTCGGTCATGCACTGTTATCGGTGAAGGCTCCTTCGACAAGCTCTCCTCGCGCGATACTAGTAGCGTCTCCTCTTGTAATAAAATAAGGTCAGGACGCATAACCCGAGCTGTGAACATCTCACAATCAATTCTCGAGTGCTGCAGAGCACCCGAGCAGGAAGTGCGTTCAGGTACTGCACCGGTGGGCCCTCGAAGTCGCAGAAAATAGCGTGTCCATGTACGTACTACAGTACTGGTAATGAGCCGTATTGCGAGTGCCGTTGGTCGCTTGACCGTTGGTCCGTGCCACTGCAGCAAGTTCATGGAGGGTACAGTTTGCGCACGGGGTTGCACGGATCGCCTGGCGCCAATTTTTCCTTCTTGCTGGATGTTGCCACATGGCTCCATACAAATCTTAAATATGGCATTCCACCCAGCCACTGCCCTAGTGCTTGGTGCATGGGAGAATCCACAAACAAGAAAGATATGGCTGGTCGACATTAGCGCCTGTCTCGCATTTTAGCCAATCAGATGACACGTTTCGATATGAATGAGTCCTATTGGTGCATGCAACGTTAAGTGTGTCCTTTTTGGCCAATCCAACGTGCGTTTCTAAGCGGTAGTAATGTTGAGCTGGTCATTCACCCGCCAGACGACACATGAGCCGCCTCAGGTGGCTGTCATTTCGGAACTGGCCTTCAACGAGCATGAACAAAGGGACGAAGATCGCCATCGCGGGTACGACGCCTCGTGAAACTGCGTTAAAAAATCGTTCCTCGTGTTAGTGATACTGCTTCTCGGCGCAGTCTTCGGCATTCTCGGCGGCGTCGGTGTCTTCTCGTCGTCCACGTCCGTTTCTGACAAGGCGACCCCGGACAATCAAACCAAAGCAAACGGCTCGTCCACGTCACCGACGCCTGCGACGGGCACTGCTGCACCTGGCTCACTGCCCGACGTTGTTGCCAACTCGTCTGCCCGCGAGGGTCATCTGGACCGTCCCGCAAGCTGCAAGATTGTGCCTCCAGGAAAGCGCGTCGCCGCCTTTTGGATGACAGAAATTGGTGGCTGCGAGACCGTACGTCACTACGCATTATTGAACCGATTTAGTCAGCTCTCTACCGTAGATCCCCGATGGCGTTACGCACGTCTATTTCGCGTTCGCCGAGATCCAAGCGGGCCTCGTCAACCAGTCGTTCCAGACGAGCGAAGCCAACATGACGGCATGCGTCTCGGCGTTGCGCAAGTATGCGTTTAAATGATCACCTTTCGCGCGCTGAAGAGCCTCCTAGGCGGTGCATTCTGGTACTCGGCAGTATTGGTGGCGCCAACGCCAGCAAGTACATGAAGACCGTCAAGGACCCGCAGGCGTTTGCCGACTCGGCGATGGCGCTCATCAAGAAGTACAAGTTTGATGGCATCGACATGGACGACGAGAGTGTCGGTCCCGAGTTTGACGGCGTGCGCGTCTTGGCGTACATGAAGGCCCTCTACGCGGCAATGAAGGCCAACGGCAACAACTACCTGCTCACGTACGACGCGTTCATGTACGAGGGCAACCTCGACACATGCAAGAGCGCAACGTACATTCGGTGTTGGCCCGTCGGCCTCGAGAAATACCTCGACTGGGTCAACGTCATGGCGTACAACATCAACGACAACCCCGCAAGCGCCAACGGCATGTACGCGGCGGCCACGAAGCCTGGTGACATCTTCTCGCGCTGGGCGACGCTCGTCACGGCACCAAAGGTCATGATCGGCACGTGCAGCCGCGACGGTGATGCCTACGGGCCATGCGCAAGCGCGGCGGTGGTTTCGCAGTGGACCAAGTGGGCCACCAACTATGGGGGTATGATGGTCTGGGCCGGCTCCAAGGACGTCAAGTACAACTACGAAGTGCTGACCAACATCATCAAGAGCCAGTGAGCATGGTGCATTTTTGGTCACTTGTCCAATGGACAAGTACAACTGATAACGGTTTCCATCAAATCGATGCATGCAATTTGTATTGCATCTTTAATTTGGCGCTTCACGCCTCTGTAGCACATGTACATACAAGGGATACAATACGCTTTTATGTTGGCGCTATGTCTTCATCAAGTAGCCGAGCTCATGCAGCTCGAGGAGCTCGTCGACGGTGAGCCTCTCAGGCTTGTGTCGCATGGCTTGAATGAGCTTGCCGAGGGCTACACCTTGGAGGTTCACGGGCCACGCTGGATCGTTCGGAGGTACAACAAAGTCATCGGGCACAACGTTGGTGTCGTGTAGGCTTTCGTAAATCTTCCAGCCGCGCACGCGGACTGCGAACGAGATCTCGGTGGCATCCCACGGAAACCCGAGTGACGCCAGTGCGTCGAGCTGACCGAGGGTGAGGCGCTCGGGGCGGCCGCGGATATTGTTGACGGCGAGTCCGAGTCTGATACCCCATGTCTCCTCGGGCCACGACGCATCCCCTTTTGGCACGACAAAGTCGCGCGGGACGTGCAATTCGTTGAACCGGCGGTGGTACGTCTCGAGAGCGAGTAGTTTCGCGTCCCACGATCGCTCCCACGACGACCAAACAAAACCCAGCGCGTCAAGTTGGTTCTTCTCATGCGCTGGCAGCGACTCGACCTGGTTGCGGATCGCGTTGACAACCTTTCCGAGCTTCATTCTGTGCAAGACCGGTGGCCAGACATCGTCGCTGGGCACAATGAACGCAATCGGGACGTTCACGTGGCCTTCAAGTGCACGAAATGTCTTGAGTGCGAGGAGCTTGGTTGACCACGCAATAATCGTGCGTCCCGTGAACGGAAACGCTAGACGTTCGAGGTCGTGCTTTTGAGTCGACGAGAGCACGTTGCGCCTCCATTGCGTACGGAGGTTGTTCACAACGCGACCGAGCGCTAAATCCCATGTCTCTTCAGGCCACGTGGCGCGCATGGACGGTTCGACCTTGAAGGACTGGGGCACTTGCAGGTGGCCATGGAGCTCCTTGTAGCGCTCGAGTGCGAGCACCGTTGTGGCCCACGCTTTTCGCTGCGGTTTGACCTGGAGCTTAGGCACAAGACTCGTCGCTGCTGTCGTAATGTGCGTTCGCAATCGCTGCGGCTGGACGAGCTGCGGGCAGCGTCGGACCAGCGTCGCCACGGCGTTGCGGAGCATGTTTGCGAACCGTGACAAAACGAACAATGAATACGTATATTGACTTCTCATTGGCCAAAAATGACGTAGGTGCTCACGTTGATTCGTGAAAAAGACGCCCAATCGTCGGCTTCAGGCGCGGTCATTGGTCAATATTTAAATTCTTACTTTGCCCCACAGCTGATGCTGACGAAAGCGAAGCGGCACGACGCTCAATACGTGTTCTGCGCTAGCTATACCGGAGACGAGAATGGACGGCGCTAACAACGGCCAGCTCGCCGAAGACGAGCAAGACAGGGTGCAGAAAGCGGTCGGAATGGAGCCCAAGAGTACAGTCGAAGGATGTGACAACGATGACGACGATATGTGGGCTCAGGAACTCGAGAGAGAGCTCGCCCTTGACGGTGCGCAGTACCATGCCTCAACCATTCAACCATTCTCTTACTCATGCAAGCATTTTAGTGCACGTAAAGAAGCGCGGCATGATTCCCTTCCACTTGCCGCATGAAGTCCTCATGGTACTTATGAGCATGGTGTCCGTGGGACGCGTGTGCCGTTCTTGGAGTTTAGCCGCCGCGGAAGGTACTAGTACCTGCTTGACATATTCACTTGGAGACTTCACTGTTCGCTAGTCACGCGCAGCAAGTACCGCAATATCTTTGAAGGACTCTTTCTCGAGCTTCTCGCCGATGACGCCACTGGCGCGATCGCACTCGCCCGGACGGTGGAGGATGCGTTGCACGCGTTCTACGGTCTTGACCAGTGTGCGCGTAAGTCTCCCTTGCCGAGTTCTTACAATTTGTACTTGTAGCGGCTGCTTTGTTCCGAAGGCCTACAAGGAGAAGGCACGCATGCTCAAATTCAACCTCCGGGATCCGAAGAACGCACTGCTCCGCACGCGCCTCTTCCAGGGTGATCTCAGCGTCGACGCGCTAGTCCGCATGCGGTCCAGCGACATGGCCAATCCGCTCTTGGTCCAACAACGCAAGGAATGGATCAAAAAACGAACGCGCGAGGTCACACGGAACATGCGCGACCTCTCTGGCTTTATGTACTCGACGGACCTCTTCAACTGCCCGTCATGCGGCAGCAACGAGACGCAACACAGCCAGGGCCGGCGTAAAGCCATGGCCGACCGCGTCTGCATCGTCGTCATCTGCTGTAAATGTCCGTACCGGTGGCAAGTTTAGTCGTAACCATCAAGTACACTAGGAACTAAGGGTGCGTTCGGTTCACCGCGTACAAGTACTTTCAAAGCACATATCGCAAATCCGCATAACTTCGATTGCAAGGTTTTTCGATACGTGCTTTTTGTTACGCGGATTGCAAAATCGCGTTCGGTTCATCGATGTACGCCGACTTCGGTTTTTTTAGGACAGCGCATGGATGGTCCTGCGCGACGCGACCCGAGCAGCAAGCGAGGGTCCTCAATGCGATGAGTGGCGGCGTACAAGGTAAGCGCTTGAGACGTCTGTCGACGGCGCATACCCTCGATGCGCTACTCCTCCTCATACGCCTCGTGCCGGCTTCGCTAGGGGCTGCTTGGTGGAGCGACGAGGTAGCGGGCGCTCGACCTCGGAGAGAACGCTTGTCGAGTCGATGAGCAAGCAACACGACGCGCTCTGCGTGTGTACTGTTAGCATCACTAATCTAACCTAGCGCGCCCGTCGTCCGCGGCGGCATGCGCTCCCTGGTCCTTCCAAGCGTGTCGACTTGGCGCGCTGCGGTCATTGTCGCGGCCATGTCGCTGCTGGAAATCAAATCAGGGATCTGTGAAAAAAGGACCCAAATTAGGTTTTTCCGATCGAGGGCAGGATATATCCCAAAGCATCCCAACGTTCGCCGCTGGTTTGTGTCGGCTGGCCGGCTGAGGCGTTTTTTGAAAATACGTGCTTTGACGGCAAAGTACGCCAAGCTACGCGGATTTGAACCGAATGCGCCGCGTAACATTTTTTTTCGAAGTTACGTGGATGGCCTCGAAGTACGTGAAAAGCACGTGCTTTGGACGAACGGAACGCACCCTAAGAAGCTGTTGAGTGATTTGTCCAGACCATGGACCACCACCACACGACGGTTTGCTGGCGGAATCGCCGAAAACACCGAGTCGGAAGATCTCGACACTGCGTCGTGGTACACGCTGATTGGTGAAAATCGTGTATCCGGATATCTGGCGTTGCACAGGGGCCGCAAGCCGACTTTGTAGAAACGGACGAGCAGCATGTGGGTCAAGAGCCCCGAGGAGGAAGCGTTCTACGGGCGCATGTTCGCGCTCGCTGACGTCGACAAGAACGGCAAGGTGCAAGGGAAGAAAGCGGTCGACTTCTTCACCACGAGCGGACTAGCACCCAGCGTGCTCAAGCAGGTACGCCGTCGCAACACAACGACGATGCTCCATGCACCATAGGTCTGGAGCCTCGCGAGCTCGAAGATGCAGCCGTATCTGGACCAAGATGAGTTCCACGTAGCCTTGGGTCTCATCGCGCTGGCGCAGAAGGGTGAGGCATTGGACCTCGCCGCCCTCGTTGCGGCGGGTCGCGCCCGACAGCTACCACTGCCTTTGTTCCACCTCGCCGACATATTTGTCATGACGCCGAGCGATGAAGAGAAGTACGCGAGCATCTTTCGTACGTCGGCGCCAAGCGGGACCATTGCGCCGACCGAGGCGATCGAGCTCTTCCAAAAGTCGGGCCTCGCCCTTGCGGTACGGTCGCCATGCACTCGCTCAGGTGCTCATGGAGCCCACGCTATTAGGACGTCCAAGCAATTTACAAGCTCGTGGACCCAACACTCTTGACAGCACTCCCGCAGCAGGCGTTCACGATCGCAATGCACGTCATCGTGTGCAAGACGCGCCGTGGTCTCACGCAGCTGCCCATGTCGGTGCCCCGCGAGTGGTTTCCAACGCTTTTCTCATCTTCGTTGGCATCACTTGCGCAGTGCACATCCGCCGACGACATGCTCAGCATGCAGGTAACTAACCACTTACAACCCTACCGCCTTATACGATTATTCAAAAATGGCAGGCCTCCATCCAGGCAACACTGCAGAAGACAGTCGCGAGCCTCCCTGTCGTAGTTGTGCCGTCGGTCTCATCCATTGTGGCACCGCTGCAAGCGCTGGGGTATCACTTGCCCGACACAGCCATGATGCTCAGCGAGTCGTCGCTTCGCGAGCTCGAGGGCGTCTTGCTGACATACGTACAGGGAGTCCAGAAGGACTTGCTCTTATCGTCGCCGGAAGGAGTGCCGCTTGCGACGCTGGTGCAGACCCTTTCCAATTTGAAGACGCAGTCGGCGCGTCTTTTGGAGCAAAAAGAGGCAGCGATGTCTCGTCACGGTAGCCGTCATCCAGGTCTCCACGTCGACACGAAAGCCAGCAGTAGTTACGTTGACGCGCCGCCGTCGTTTCCAGGTAACTTTGGCTAATGCATGCGTCGATTGATTGCGTATCATCATGCTTTTTGCATCTCTCTAGCGCCGACAGCAGGCTGGGATGCGTTCGAAGCCGCTCCAGCGCCCATCTTGCCGACGCAGACCGTACCAGAGCCCTTGCTTTTCTCGCCAACCGGGGCCGGGGATCCATTCGGTTTTGACATCCTGGGTGGCACTGGGGGCAGCTTTACTGCGCCGATGGTTGCCTCGACGCACGTTGTCGCTACCGAGAAGCCCGTGCTCGACGCGTTTGCGTCCGCGTCATCGTCGTCGTTCAGCGCGTTTGATGCGATGAACGACATGGACTGGGGCTTTGCTGACAACCAGTACGAGCCCGTACCCGAGTTGGACGAGGCGACAGAGGTCACGAAGACAGCACCAAAGAAGATTGACAGCAACGAGCTGTTCCGGGCACCAAAAACTCAAGCACCGAACGTGCACGGCTTCGATAGCCCGTCGTTTGGCTCGGCAACATCTGCTCCAGAGCCCACGGCAAAAAATGCGTTTGGGGTCTTCCCTGCTCCGGCCGTCAAAGACCTCGGTGCGTTTCCGCCGATGGATGTGCCATCATTTGGGTCGTTTGCAGCGACGGCGAACTCGGACGGCTTTGCAGACGCCCCCACTACTCATGGCTTTCAAGCCTTCGGTGCCGAGACTGTGACCGGCGACGGCTTTGGCCCGTTTGCATCCTCGGATGCTGGTGCTTTCGCTTCTGCTCTTACCGCGTCGGGTGGCGACTTTAGTGCGTTTTCGTCCCCAGGTGCCGATGGATTCGGCACCATTGGAGCCACAGAGGCTAGCCCAAGCTTCGGTGCATTTGACGCACCTTCGGACGCGCCGGTGGCAGTTGACTTTGGCGCGTTTACACCAGCACCAGACGCACCGGCAGCGAACGGCTTTGCGTCCAGCGGCTTCGGGGCATTTGACGCTGCGCCATCTGTCGATGATGATGGCTTTGCGGCATTTACCAGCAAGTTGGAGACGTCCGCTGCGTTTGACGGCTCGAGTTTTGCGGCTTCATCCACTGGTGACGCGCCTTTGCCGACAGCTTTTGCTTTTTCGTCGAGCGAGGTGGTATCAACAGCAGAGACCGATGGCTTTGGGGCTTTCAACGAGTCGTCGGTGGTTTGTGATGTGTCCCCCGCGTCCGAAGCTTTTCCAGCGTTTGCTGCTGCCGAGTTCTCACCGCCGCCGGCCGACGACTCGTTCGGGGCGTTTGCACCCACCGATGCTTCGACGACCGATGGTTTTGGTGCGTTTCCCGCGTTTGAGCCCAATGCCGCCGTTTCGTCAGACGCCGTAGCAGAAGTGGTCGTCGACACGCTTCCAACGCCCGAAGAACTGGTCAACGTCTGTGGTAGCGACACGAGCGCGGTGTTCTGTGCGTCCGCCTTGCCCCACGATGCGGACTTGCGGGGCGACTCGCAGGCGCCGGCAGCGACGGAAGATGGCTCGGTGCCTGTCGATCTTTCGGAAAGCAGCTTCGTTACGGGCCCCATCATCGAAGCGGCATCCAACCCGTTGCCGAA